CCTTCCAATTATCATTTTGTTTTTATAACATGCACTAGTGGTGAGGTCCACGTATTGTATCATACTGAGTAATTTTATGCCTTTTCCTGTTATTAACAGTAAATGTAAAGAACTAATAAAAAATTATGGTAATTCAATGATCTTTAATAATAAATACATATATGACCCTAGTATAGGTTATTGGAATGAGCAGTAATATTAGCAGCATAGTTGTTTACATTTTTAGTGTGACTAATATGTTATTTAGGACCATATAACCCACAATGTCTTGGATCAACAAGAATTTGGTATATAAATAGTTGAGAAAAACAGGTTTAAAATGTAAAATGGGGGTTCATAAAAACAACCATGGGTAATTTTAGGGTTAATAAACCTTGGTGGTTGTTTTTTTTACTAGTTTGATCATTATAACAAAGAAAGAAGTATGTTCCTACTAAAATCTTTTTTGGACTCTCTGGATCATCAACTTACCATTTTAGCTGTAACCTGAAAGCATCATAAATATTTTGGAAAACTTTTTATGACATGTTCAATACCAATTTTGAAATGTTGTATCACCAGCAGGGCAAAAAATTGGTGAAGTACCACATACTTTTTTTTCTGCTGGAATCATGTCTTCCTAACTACACCAACATGGTTCAATGCTGCAAATAATTGTGTTTTTCAAATGTTAAACTTGATTCTGTGCATGCTTTTAAAATTGTGGAATAGAAAATTTTACATTGGAAAGTACTTAATGTAACCCTCCCAAAAAGGATCAATTTTAGGTGCAATATGTACTTGCTAATAACCACACTTCAAATGAATTAAATAAAACAAAAGGTCAGGGCTTTTAATGTGTTTAGTCACAGACCACAAAAGTGGCCAGAGGCATTGTTGGAAGTGCTAATTATCATAATAGATTACGAAAAACCCTCTGTAGAGGTATGTCAATTTGACTTTTCTTGTAAGCAAGGTGTTATAACCTAGTGTCAGTTAGAAAATAATTTTAAAAGTTAGCCTTTAATTATTAATTTTAGGCATAGCTTCAGAAAAAAGGTGTTTCATCCCTTTAAAATCTGTTAGAATTTTTTTTCATTGGGCCACTACCTTTCTTGGATGAGGAATCCCAGTTGAAAGATTTTAATACAATAAGGTGTCACACAAGAAATTGATTTGTTAGTTGTATTCTTACAAAACTGGTGGAAATATTAAGAATGAGTACAGAATTATTCTAGCTGTAGAAAGCAAAGTATGGTGTTAAATAGGAATACTTATGACAGAGAGTGTAATTAGCAGGGTCCCTCACAAGTCTGCTTTGGGACCTTTGTTATTCATTATTTATATTGTTACGTCTCCGTTTGTTAATTAACTTTACGTAACTTCGTTCCAACGAAACTTAAGCGACACAAGTTCTTTCTTAATAAAACTGGTTTATTATTTCCGAATATAACTCCGCGATACACTCCAACTTCAACAATCGCGCTAAACAACGCTGTAACGTCTCTCGTGCTCTCTAACTGCAGTTCAATTACTCACTGTCTATTCACACATTACAATTCTCTCTTTTATATACCCGCCTACCCTAGCAAGTAAATACTAGAGCATTCATGAAAAAACAAGATAGTTCTAGAAAATAGAGGGCGCCACACCAGTCACGTGACCTCGATGACGCAACAATACACTTAACATCAAAACTAGCACAAGAAACCTTATTAACAAACTTTAAAATTTGAATTTCTTTACAGAATTCAAAGTGTCTTCAAGCCAGCCAAATAACCTGCCAATGTGTTATTACAAGATCCAATATTTAAACCTGTAGGCTTTGATGAACATTCTTCTTCATGCACTTTAGGAAGTCCATAAAAGATTCCTAGTCTTTCTGATAGCCTAATTTCTGAATATTGTGTCTGAATATTAGGATCTAAATTTAGCTGATTCACTCAGGGTGTTATCCACTATACTCAAATACATTTAAAATACACAGAGAAAATAAAAGGTATTTAATCAATCAAAAGTGGTGCATAACTTACACTAATCTCCTCACTAGAGAAATTGAGAGAGTATAACTAAGGTTTGCAAAAGGGGTAATTTACAGCCTGATGTCAATGCAAGTCACAAGCTTTATAACAATTTGTTTCATAAAAAATAGAAATATATGCTTAGACCTTGACATTCTAAACCTTTACCATATAAAATAATTCTTTTAATATTTTTCTTGAATACCCATTGCTAGTGTTTGAATATTTACAAAAGTGGGGTATCCTAAAATTACAGGGCATCAGCCAGTTGCCCTATATATTGCAATTACCCTCCCCACAAATATTGGTAATTTTTCTTACAAAGAACTGCATTGCTATGAGCCTATATAAATCTTTAGATATAAAACATCAAGAACTATTCATATTACTCTTTTGGAACATCATTTGTGGAAGAAATTGGTAGTTATCTCTAATGATAAAATTTAATGTTATAGCATTCTCTAATTGTCTTATAATATTGAAGGTGTAACAACATTTTAAAAAAAAATCTCGTTCCACTTGATTCATTAATTAAGTAGGTAAATTGGAAGTTCATAATTATTTCTCTATTTTAAAAACATGATTCGAAAATAAAATTTTCTTTCCTATATTGTTAAAAGATAATCAAGATATAATATATATTGAAAGTTACATTAATTATTAAATATTAGCAAATTGATACACTTGCATTCTTACATTCCTACTGGTACAGTAATCTTGACTTTTACATTCTAAGGCACAATAAAAAAAAACATTCTAACAAGAAGTTAGAAATTTCATAGCCCAATTTTTAACTTTCACTTTAAAAGGCATTTGTTTTTTATAACAACATTAACATAAACACAAAAATATTATTAATCACCTTTGATTACTTAGGAAGGTTGTAGTAAAAAACAAAGTTGTTGTCAAAACTTAATTATAGCATCAGGTTCATTCCCAACATTCTCTTTACATATCAAATTTGTAATAAATTAATGCTATAGGAAAAATTGGTACGAAATGTCTATCGTATTTAAGAAAGCTTTGTTTTTCTTTAATTTCTATGGGAAATTCATCTTGAAGGTATTTTATAGACTATATCTAAAGTCACCAGTAAAGGAGTATTAAAGTTATGAGAGTGGGAATCATATGCTTTTCTGGTACATAAAGAAAAACCAAGACTGAGACATGTCACCTACTGGGATTAGTGACATTAGGTATGAAACAGGAAGGATGTCTATTTATATCCACAACTACTGTCATCTACTAACTATATCTGAATGTATGATAAGACACCCATATGTCCCATTGTGAATTTATGACAACTTTGTGGGTAGAGAAGGAGATAAATGATGACGTGTTTCTTTGCATTTCTACATTATTATTATGTTTAGTATTTATGCATCACCTGTAGTTATGTCAACCTTCTTTTGAAGAAAAAATATGTCATTGAAACCTTGCTACCATCATCTCAAAATCTGAAGTGTTCATTCTGTCCAGTTATTTTTTTTCCATCAGGGTGCTTGTGTTAGTAAGTTTTTTTTTTTACCTTTTACTATTAATTGTAGTTAGTGCAGTATTTATGTGTTAATGGGAATATAAGGCACACATTCTTTTATAGTAATAAGATATTTACAAACAGAAGATACAACACTGTAGATGTCTAAAGACATAATTATTATTTAAAATAGTTAATTCTTAAAGCAAACACAGCACTGATAACCCCAAGTTGCAGTAATGAAGAGAGACAGCCTTTGTTTTGTACATTTCTGGAATTCTCCAAAGCCTTCCAACCACTTCTATTCAAATAGAGTACCTGTGTTCAAATTATGAAATTTCAATAGTTTTGAGTTGATACTTTTAAGATTGATGTTGCAAAATTAGCTTTTTCAGCCTTTACAAGCTCCACCCAGTTGAATAGTTGACTACATCCAATTCTCATATTTTTGTGCTTCTATTTTCTAATACTTTCAAACCTTGCCTATGTGTATTTTAAAGGGTATACTGAAGAAGACTGGAGAACTTTGTGGTTTACTGTAACAATAGCACAAGCAAAAATTTGCAAATTTTGTACAATAAGGAATTCTCAAACAATTTGTCATGTTACTAATTTTATTCTTTAACAGATATTCTAATACAAAGAGAAAAAAATGGGTTCTTAATTATCATTGTACAACTACCTAGTGAATGGTTGTGAAGATATGTGTGTGTCTATCTTTGATGTGGAACAAATGACAAGCCATGTGTGAATGAACTTCAAGGCCACTCTGCTCCTGTTCTGGATGTTTGTTTTAACTGTAATAAAAGTCATCTGGTGATTGTGTGGAAGAAAGAAAAGAGGCAGTTTTAGGTGAAACTAAGCAAGCTGAAAGAAGCAAAAGCTTTCAAACATTACTAAATACACACTATACTTTAGTGAACGAGTTAAAGTGAGGCAGATGTGTAAAAGTTATAAAGTGTAATTAATGAAACCTGGTTAGATAAACATTTTATAATGGGAATTAGAATAATTCCTATGAAGATTTTGTGCTAAAACAAGGTATTTTGGTGCACTAGCAATTAGAAGAGTTAATAACTTTGTGAAATTAACATAAAAATAATACATTTATCCTTATATTATGAGTGGTAGAATGAAAAAAACATTGTTAGTAAAATAATTGAAATTGTAATGAAAAAGCTAAATTCATCTTATGTAGTTTTAATGTACCCAAAGATACATTTTTTTACATGTTTAAATATTGAGGATCAACTTTTAATGATAGCAAGAATAAAATCTCAACTGATCTGTGAATAATTGTACACATTTTTGAATTGCTAGACATACCTGTACAGCTTTTGTGTATAATTATTCATTACTGAAGTGGTATGTAATTGACACCATACTGAGAAGTTGCTGTAAAATGTAATTAGTTATTTTAATAAAACAAAAAGTATTGTTATGAAACAGCCTTGTTCTATTTTTTTCTTTAAAATTTTGAAATTTGAGTCAAACTTTTGAGAATCAAACATGGTTGAGACTGATTGTGAATAACTTTTTATTTCTATAAGAGATTGGTGCAATCATCACTTATACACACAAAAATTTGCTGCACTGTACTCAACAAAATTAAAGAATTGTCTGTGAATGTGGACGGATCACAGTAAGCTACACTTAAATCATTTTTGTTTTTTCCTTAGGAAACTACACCATGCATTATAAGTTATGTACATCAGTACAGGTGTAGCTGGTTTCGTTCACATTTACTCAATTTTGCACTATTAACTGGTTTTAAAGACTAAAACTATGGAATCATATAGCTCAGGTACATATAAATAATCCAGAACTGTTAAGTTCTAACTTTTACCCATTTGTAATAAAAAATATACACAAAATAACTAAATCATTAAGGAATACTTTACCATGTGCATATGCAATAATTTTCTTACCAGGACAGTAGATTAGATGATTATCATGTTGTTATTACAACATCTGAAAACTGGATAGCAATGACAATTGTCTGAGGTACGTGTATACTATGTAAATTATTTTGACAGATCATTTTTTTCACAATGAATAATAATAAGAAAATAAAATAAATTACATAAGAGACAACTTAAACTTTAAATAAAAAAAATCCATACAAAGACCTCAAAACAAGAAAATATTTTAAGCACCATTAGCAAATTTACAACTTGGAAGTATAATACACCAACTTCATTTATTTATCGTCACCATAACAAAAGGGATTCTCTACTAATGTTTTATATGTATCAGTAACATAAAGATTTAACCTTTGTAGGAAATATTACAGGGTTCTAAAACCTCGTGTCTAATTTAGACTTTTTTCAAGTACTTCACACTCTAATGTTTCGTGAATATTTTTCAAATTAAAAGGTTCAGTTCATTGAACTTACAGATTAAAGCCCTTATACATATTTTAATGCTTCTTTATAATCCTTATACTAATAGATCTGTACAGGTCTCAGTTCACTTTTTCAGATCATAGAATAACTTTAGGTTTTGAAATATGCAATTACAAGTTTATATATTGTTTCTGACTAGCTAGATCTAACCATGATCATATTTAGGCTAATAACTGGGTTTGGGTTACTAAAGCTAGGCAGCAGCAAAGTCTAAAAAAATATTTTTTGGTAATGAGAATATAACTTCAAGTATTTGTCAAACAACATCCAGATTATTCATCATAACAGTAGTATTGCTAACACTGATTTGAGTTAATTTATTTTAGAGCTTTCCATATAGGGGAGATACAAGGTTCAACACCCATGTTGAAGAAAATGGCAACCAAATTAAACCATGTCAAAAATAAACCAATTTGCAGAACCAAGTTCAGTGGAGATGATCTCAAAAATATGAAAGTATGACACCAACCAAAGTTGTCAACCTTACAATTCTGTTTTTACTAAAATACACTGGATAATTTTTTTTTGCACTGACATCATTAAGAGAAAAAACACTTCTTGCTACTTTATGATTTGTCGACAGTGTTAGAATATGCCATATTTTTTGTTCACAAACTATTGGCAACTCTGCAGCCAACCCATCAGAATAAGCCTGGTAACATTTTTAAACTTCATATCTTATTTGAGTTTACTATCCTGATTATTAATATGTGCATATTCTCTTTTACAATTTTTGTAGAATATTTCCATAAAATGATTGTGACATTCCCTTAACCATTTTATATTTAATATTCATATTCATAACCTTGCTCTATTCCTAATTTGAATTATAAATAAATATTAGTAGAATCTTTCATAATTTAAAATAATCTAAATTTCTATATTTTAAACAATTATATTCTAATGAAACAAAAATATATGTTACTGAAACAGAATGCCAGGTAGTAGGCTTATGACAACTGGCTGAAGCTATAGAACACCCCCACTTCATTTGCATTTTTTTGGGGGGGTGGTGGTATTAACTTTCTGATTTAGGCTTTGCTTGTACGTAAGTAGTTCTGCCTTTAACACAGATGATTAAAGACATAACATTTTTTCTCTCCTTGATTGAAAAATATGACAATGTAACCCAAAAAACAGCTCAACCTTAGAGTTCTGATACAAATAGCTAAGACTGTTGAAAGCTGTCACATTCTGTTAATTAAACTGTTAAAACAGTAATACTATGAGTTTTGTAATATATATATATATATATAAACAAATCACACCTATTGAGAGCTTAAAAAATATCAAACCCAATATCATTTCCCAAAAATTATGATTCACAGGTAAATTTTTAACAGCTTACAAGAAGCATTATCAAATCTTCCTATATTTGAATGTGGTTAATGCTTATAAAGTGTTATTGAGCTTTGTACATCATAACATTAGTTCCACAGAAAATTTCTCATTCATCCTTGCTTTTTATTATAAACTTATCCAAAGGCAAAAATAACTTGCATTAGGTTATTTTACTGTGAAACACAGAAACATTCATTAAACAAAGTATTTTTATTCTGTTCCAAAGTTTGACATCAAGTATCACATGATAGTTCTATTTCCAGCTCCAAACATTTGAAAGTGAAATGGCTGAATACATTACAACTAATATTTCAAGTATTTGCATTAATAACCCAGTAACAATGAAAAAAAAAAGTCAGACTTCTTATAACAGCTCAAAGCCAGTGCTATGTGATCATTCAAAATGGATTAATTAAAGCCACAGTGTAGGTGTCAATGAAAAAATCTGCAATAATGAGGTCAATACACTGTTAAGCCTTAGACCTAAAACACTTAGCTGAGGCTCCCTTCTAACTAACTACTAAAACATTTCATCTCTAGTTGAATAGTTCTACTTTTAAATTTGATTAGAACAAAAATAATTTAAAATTATCAGTCACAAGTAGAAGCAGAAACTAAATTTAGGGCTAAGTGAACCACTAATTTTATGAAATTTAGTCATTTTGCGAGCGTTTAATACTTGTTAATTAATAGCCTATAGTGTACTCTCTATTCCTTAGATGTGTTTTCAAGTCCAACAATATTAGTCTTAAATGTAAAGTCTAGATCTGAACTGACTACATAGTACATGTTACAAATTAAGAAATATACATAATTGAATTATGTGGTTCAATTTGTTGTGTATAATAGGAACAGTAAATAGGATGAACAGAGTAGCACTAGTGGTAAAAGCAATCAAATTCTAAACTAACCAAATGATACTGGTAGTGTATATTTAATTACTTGCACTTTGTGGTCTTAACTGAAACTGAATGTTAAATTTTAGTGCAGATTATGTATCTTTACTCCACCATTTACTACATCTTCCTGGTAAGAATGACATTATATATATTAGAAATTTATTATCAATACTGCTATGTGGAACTTTAGATAAATGATTTAGTGTAACACGTAGTTACCTTTGTTTTGATCAGATTCAAGTAGAAAACCAGTTGAAATGGTACTAGTGAGTGTGTTCAATAGGGAAAGACAAGTAAGTGCCTCCACATTACTGCTGCTTTCATTTGCATGTAAACAAAATATTGCAAGGACTCATGTGGAGCGTCAGTGGTTAAGTTCAAAAGTTAAAAATGATAAATATTACACTGGAGTAATATTAAAAAAGGTTGCTTTTTTGACCACAAATGATAAATAATTACAGGGATTGTACGCAACCGTACACCTCCAAATTATTTCAGAATGCTTCAAATTAGAATAAGCCCTGGAATTGTATAAAAATAGCTTTGAAAACATAGACAGGTTTTGAAATTTACTATTTTTGTTTAAATAGTTCTGATTTTAAATAATTAGCATTGTTTATGTTATGAAAACTAATGGATTTCTTTTTATCAGTGAACTAATAATAAACACTGGAAAGTCCCCAGATGTCATATGCATGACATCATTCACATAAAGAGGCCAACCTTTTCCATGTACACGTGTACTGGCATCACTGCAAATGGTACCTTTTACAGTGCTTTATTGGTTTAACTGCGAGATTAGAATTATCAGAACATAATACAAATGTTAATAACAATGAGGAATTGTGCCTTTCAGTCATACTGACTAATAAAAAAACCATAATCAATGCCACAAAAAAAACTTTGTTGGATACATCAGAAATTGTTCAATATTGGAAGCATGGGAGAATCTGCCAGCCACATGACTGGCAAGAAACATAACGAATATGTGAGGCAACAGTCAAAAATAGCACGTGTGAAGAACTTTCTTGCAAGAGCCAGTTAAAATAACCAATAATGGTGCTACAGCTAGATATAGCAAATATCTGGAGAACCCTTATTTATGCCAAGCCTGACAATGTTAACACACAAGACAAGGTACCAGTTGAACTGACAAGTAAGCCTAACTGTATTATGAAATCATCTGACAAGTAGGCCTAACTGTATTATGAAATCATCTGACATGAAACAAAACTTCTTTAATAATAATGATTGCGATATTATGTAATAACAGAAAAAAAAGTACAATAAAATGGGCAAATGATATAGTACAATTGACATTAGCTCTCTGTAGTTTACTGCAAGAATTGTCAAGCCAGGCTGAGACTGGTGATTAAAATCAAGAACTTGTTGTCAATCTATGAAGCTATACATGTCAGAATCTATATTATTTTTGTCTGAAACACTTCTTGCATTAAGTAGGTATGGAATACTAGAAATTTTGTTTCCACTTCAGCTTAATGTTTTTCTGCTCATTTCCAGAATCAGTACCCAGATGGTCTCAGTGTGAATGGGAAATTAAAAGAAGAGCTGCAAGAGAAAACCTGAAAGTCAGCACAACTCCAAGATGTTAAACATAAGCAGTCATGACCTCCATTCAAGAATGGGCTATGAGCAATCCAATACCATCTGGTATCCAGCCTATACGAGCTGTTCAAAACACACACCAGAAAAAATGTTAGGACAGGCTCATCAATATTACCATTAATGTTTTCTGTGTTCATGAAATGTCTCACCAAAATATAAAAGGTTGTAAAAACCACAAATTATGCAGTATATGACAAACACATCTCAAACTAGTTGTCTTAAAGTCTGCTTCGGTTGAATGTTCCCCTTCAGGATTAAATGAACAATTTTCTTCCATTTAATATTTCTGTCTGACAATTTGCTTTTGGTTATTTACTGTGACCTAAATTTTACACCCTTGCCTTACATTATCTTGTTTGTCTCTTTAATTAGTAGTTGAGTAACTATAAAAAAGAAATTGTTTTGTATTTTCTTATCCTTATTTTGAATTACCTTGATGTACTTTTTCTCACTCACATTTATTTTCATAAATTAATAAGTAACATTTATGTGTTTTACTATATTGTTTTGTTCACACAATGTTTTCCAACAATGAATGTAAGTGCAATGCAATGTATATGTTCAGTTTTTTATTCTAGCATTGCTGTTTGAAATTGTTTCATATTTAGTTTTTATAAAGATTTTTGGCACAACTTGATGAATGTAGAGCAAATGTTTTTCCACCTAACTTTTATTAGGCTTAGGTTAGAGGGATGTGAAACAGTAAAAATTGGTCAAATGTTGTTGAATGAATGTAACTTTTAAGTATTTGCTTGAATAAAATATTTTACTTACTATACAGTGTAGTTAATTGTCTCATTCATTGGAAACTTATACATGAAATGACAGTTTTGGACAAGTTTCTGAGCAATTTACACACTGGGGCATTTGGCAGCTCAAAAGTTTTGCTTGAAACCAGAAGTAGAATTATCATGTGATTTACTATGTCACAACCTAGAAATCATATTGCTCTGTTTGCTCAGTGTTCCAGTTCTATAACTTCAGTGTCCTTAAAGTTCAAGAGATCAATTGGCATTATCTACACTAGACTATAAACAGTCATAATGCAAATAAACAAATTGGAATGTCGATAAAATTAATAAAATCAATTCATAAGACATTTAAGAAATGTTTTAATTACATGATGTGGTTACTTATACTAATTCATTTTGGAATTTAAAGTATGGTGGGTTGAAAAGTCAAACATCTCAGAGTATGTGATAAGACTGAATACCTTTTTAAATAGTTTGGATTTATTGTAAAAACAAACTGATGCCTAACCATTTTTCTGCTGTAAGTAGCTTCTATTACTAAGGCACACACTTTTGTTTGGTTTTAGACCACTATCAATCCAACCAATTAGTGAAATTTTAAATTATTTATGTTAAATATATTAGCACTGAAATATGTGTGAGTGTTGGAGTAAACTTTTGTTTCTAATACTTTTAATATACTTTTCACTTATTTTTGAACCTATCATATAACTGTCTCTTGCATTATACATGTATATATATTTTGTTAAATTGCAAAACCAGAAAAACCCATACAAAAAATCCTGCTACTCGCAAATGACTAGGGTAAATCATTTCAGAAATAGTTTGGAAATGTTTTTGGCAAAGCCATATTACAGAAACTTGCAGCATTAAGGGAGTGAGAACTGCACTTAGCACATACATGAGTTACAATCTATCAAAAGTTAATGAAGATGCTCTGTTTCACTCTCATCATAGTAAGAAAACATGTTAACTGTTCTTATCGCCCTTGTCCAATATGAAGATAATAAACATGTTTATCAGAACATTACTGCTCTCATAACTGTAATTTAGATTCTCAATCTGGAATGCTGTAAAGTGAATGATATCAGATTTCCTTGAAGCACTGTTTTGAGGCTGCCTTACAATCCTTCAGCAAATTAACACTGCTGTATTGAGTTTCACTGACCCTTAGTTCAATTATCTTTTTTGAAAATGTCTTCAGTAAAACACACTTCATTAGTTCATTTGCATTCATCATCATAGCTACTAATGATGATCACTGGAATGTCTGGAAGAACATTTTCAGGACCAGTGAAAATATCAACTTCTTGTTCATTGTCATTTACCTTTTGTTTTAAAAGCTGCCCAGGTGAGTATTTTGTGGTGCTGCCAAACTGACAGGGTGTTTTTTCAATTGTCTCAAACCAGTGACTAGATGCTTCCTCTTCAGAATTGCTGGACACACTGATTTCTGCTTTGGCATTATTAAATGTAGGACTGAATATCGAAATTTCTTTACTAGTTTCATACAGTTGATGAGATATTTCTTGGAACTGGTGACTAGATCTACATGTTTCTTCAGAGAAGTTGAACTTCTGATCAGATCTACAATATTCTTCTTCCTCTTCTTCTCTGTAAAATTGATCATCAGGTTCAGAAACTTCTTCACACTTATAACCACAAATAGGGGTTTCTACTTTAGATTGGATTTCCAACTCAGAATTCTTTTCAATTGTATCGATTTTTGAATCATATTTAAGTGTGTCTGCTTTAATGTTACCACACTGACTTTCAGACTCTAAAACTTCTCTGAACCATAAGGATTCTCTTGTATCATCCACCAAACAGTTCAAGCTCAATGTTTCTTCACTGTTATTTGCATTATGTAAAGCAGCTAAACTGTCATTATCACCTTCTAGTTCCTCCAAATCTTCCTCAGGTTCTTCCAGAATGGTATCCATGACATCTACAATTGGGAGATCTTCTAGGTAAGCATCTGGTAAAGTCCCCACTGGCCACTGAAGCTCAATAGCCACTGGGTTTGGTGCATCCACTACATCTTCATCATATTCAAAATCACTGTCTCCTTCAATACCAATATCTTCTGAGTGGTCAGAGTCATCAATACTTTTCACAATTCCATCAAGGCTTTCATCCCTGGAAGATTCTGTTTCACTGTAATTGTTCTCTGAAGAGCTTGTTCCATCTTCAAGTTCTTCATACTGGTTTTGAATATTTCTGTCTGCAGGTGACTCTGTATCATCTTTTCCCTTCTCCTGCTGGTTATGAATGTTTCTGTCAACCAGTGATTCAGTGCCATCTTCCAATTCTTCATACTGGCTGTGAATATTTCTGTTTGCAGGTGACTCTATATCATCATCTCCCTTCTCCTGCTGGTTATGAATGTTTCTGTCAACCAGTGATTCAATGTCATCTTCAAATTCTTCATATTGGCTGTGAATATTTCTGTCTGTAGGTGACTCTATAACATCATCTCCCTTCTCCTGCTGGTCATTAATGTTTCTGTCAATCAGTGATTCAGTGCCATCTTCCAATTCTTCATACAGGCTGTGAATATTTCTGTCTGTAGGTGACTCTATATCATCATCTCCCTTCTCCTGCTGGTCATTAATGTTCCTGACAACCAGTGACATAGAGTCACCTACAGACAGAAATATTCACAGCCAGTATGAAGAATTTGAAGATGGCACTGAAATCATCATCTCCCTTCTCCTGCTGGTTATGAATGTTTCCGTCAACCAGTGATTCAATGTCATCTTCTAATTTCTTATGTTGGTTCTGGATATCACTGTCTGTCTGTACTTCTGTGTCATCTAGTTTCTGTGACTCTGTGTCATCTTCTCCCTTCTCCTGCTGCTTCCAGATGTTTCTGTCAATCACTGATTTAATGTCATTTTCTAATTTCTTCTGTTGGTTTTGAATATTTCTGTCTGCCTGTACCTCTGTGTCATTTTCTATCTTCTGCTGATTTTGAATGTTTTTGTCTGTGAATGATCCAGAGCTATCTTCTAGCTCCTTATGCTGGCTTTGGATGTTTTTAAGTGAATAACTGCCACCTAGTATCTTATGCTGGCTCTGAATGTTCCTGTTTGTAAATGACTCATTACTATCTGGCACTTTAACCTGATTTTCAGTGTTTCTGTCTATAAACGACTCACTGTTATATAGCTTCCCATGCTGGCCCTGCAAGTTTCTGTCTATGAATGGCTTAATGCTGTCTTCTAGTTTTTTATGCTGATTTGGAACATTTCCCTCTACACATGACTCACTGTAGTCTTCTAGTTCTTCAAAATCTTTGTGTATGTTTCCATCTACAGAAAGTTCAGGTTCTTTATAAATTTCATGAAATTTCTGTGATTTGCACTTAAGATTTTCTTGGTCAATATCAGAAATTTCAAAGTGGAAATCAGAGGGAAAACATTCATCACTGTGACTATCATTTTCATAACAAAAAGATTTCTCACAGCATGGATTGTTTTGTTTCATTAATTCAGAACTGTTTTCTTTTTCTTGAAAATAGGTGAAGGTTTGTGTAGGATGTTTTGGCAAGTCTGTAAAGAAGAAAAAATATTTGCACAATAATTAGGCACAAATCTAAAAGCACATTCATAAACATGATAAACTCTTTTTTTCTTAACACAATATTATAATAATAATACTAAGTTTATGGATAATCCTTTAATTAGTTTAACACAAAATGGCAAACAGACATTTAAGATTCATTAGTACCTCTTTAAAACATTATGAGAAATTACTATTATTAAAAATAAACACAAGTTTTTTAAACTATAAAGCTGACAAATTTCACTTCACAATAAATAAATGGAAAAATCCTGACAACAAACAGTAAGCTTATGATACTGTTTATGGAAATATCTATATATTTCTTTAATAAATCAATCTGTTTTTAATCTAACTTTGAGGCCTTCTTTAAGACAGATATATAATTATACAACATGTGGTTTTCACACACAATATGTAAATCATAAATGTGTAACTGCTTCCACAATATAAAAACCAAATTTCTCAATTCTCATTTTACAGTTTGTAGATGTGTTTGAAAAACCAAGCATTCTGAAAACATACTACCTTTTCTTACACTGCTTTACAAGTTTTTTCTTATATACTAGGCCAGAGGTTTCCAAACTGGGCCCGCAGGAAAGTGTTGGAACAAATATGCTAAATACGCAACACTGTTTAGTTACTCAGTATCTATAGAATCACTGGGGTGGGAGACTCAGTCAGGATGCAAAATATTCTGGTGGGCCTTGTGCTGAAATGGTTTGGAAACCCATGGACTAAGCTATAAATTCATTTTCTAAGTTTTCAACTTCTCCAACACTTAAGACATTTTTTATAAACTTTCACAATTTGTTCTTTGGATTCACTTTTAAATTCCTGTAAAAACCCAAAAACGTTAAAAGAGTTGAAAAGTGGTAGAAAGTATAATACTTTAACAAGAAACTGGATTGAATGATTTATTTTTTCTGGTGTTTACTCAATACCCCTGGTAACATAAGTTACAGAACTTCACAGAATGTCTGTAACATGAAATACAAACAAAGAATTCACAATATAATACACGAGAGCACTTTATATAAAGTTTTTAGTTTTCACACATACAGTAGTTGTTGTATGTCTTAGGCTTCCTTACTCAGCCATTTCTGTATGGGTTAAGTATTCAAATACTCTAAAATGAACCCTGCAATGTACTTTGACAGAATTAGAGCTGAATAATAAACAACATTATTAATTTTTGCAGAGGTATCTCTAGTTGTCTACTTCACAAATGTGACCAATTTTAATTCCTTACACCCAGATGATCACTTAAAGAATACACGAAACATCTTTAAAAAAAAAAAAGTGATTTTTCCTACAAAGTCCAACAGTTATGAATTATACATCAGTTAATTAATATTATCAGGAAAGTATTCTATTCAATTCTATTTTAATTAATAGAATTATATGAAAATTAACCTTCTGTACTATCAACATCATCTTCTCTAGTCTCTGCAAGTTCTTCATCAGTTATACCCACAATTGTGTACAAACTTGTGCTTTGATGTGCTGACAAGGGTGAAGGTTTATAACGGATAAAATTATTGTAACTATCTTCCAAGTCTTCCACCTCCACATCGTCCTCTACATCCTGATCATCATCCAATGATGGTTGGAAATCCCAATCTGGAAGATCAGGCTCTTTATAAATCATATCTTATAAGCACTTACAAACACACTGCTAGTCACTTACTTATGTGTACTGTATACTAAATTAACATTCAAGTTTCACAGCAGAGTTTTGGCTTTAATGAGCCTGTTTATAAAGTGGGCACCATGTTTTTTAAAAAACTGGACATACAGTATAAGTACAACAGAAAATACTGTTTATGCTCACAGTAAAAAGAAAGAAATACTTTCAATGTTGCAAATAATTCTCTAACACATGAGAAAGCTTGGAATTATAGTAACCTACTGCCAAGATTTTTGCCCTTAACTTTTTATACAAAATCTATTTTGATTACCTGAAACAAACAAGTATGGGCAAAACACACTTTTTTGTATAGCTTCAGTAGTTTTCATTAATAATTTGCAACTTGGCAGTCTACTGATGCAAAGTACATACATTATGTGATATCTGCCTTTTACTGAATTGTTTCTTGTGACAAATATCAAAACAATCTGTTGTTTTGTAATATAACAGTATCATTTTTTGTAATTATGTGTTATACGTATTTCTGATGAGTGTTATTGATGTAGTATTTTGAAAATAAGTAGCATAGAACTACTACTTAGGCTCAGCTTTCCTGCCAACATTAAATCTTTAAGAGATTGTCTAAGCTTTAAGAGAAAATGTAGTAGAAGTTAGCCTAGTTAGACAAGTTGTTTTGTTATTTTATAACACACAATCATTTTAAATATTTTGAATTCTTCAACAAATCATAAAATTCTTTATTCTTAACATGTCTGCAAGATTTCTATCAATTCCTAAAGCACTTGAGAGTCCATTACATAACAATACATTTTCTTTACACAGCTACAGTGCACAATGTGTGCAGCCAAAGTATGATAAAATTTGAAAATACAGAGAAAGGATGAAAATTGGTGTAATGAGAAAAGAAATATAGTTATACAATTTACCCCCAAAATCTTCTACAGGACCTGTGATGAGGGTCACTTGGCATAAATGTTGACCTTCCCCTTGACAAAGTTTTAATAAATTTTTTATATTATGTTTTTGAGTACTAGTGAAAGAGAAACATATTAGAAGGGGGATTACTCTCAAAGGAGGTCAACAAAATGTTTAGATTAGGACTTTAATAGTAAATTTAGTACTTGAGAACTATTTATATTTTTTTAAGAACATTAGATTCAAAGAAAGAATACAGTGTTACCTATGAAGAAAAAATATGAACATAACATTGATACAGATCTTTTAACTAGTGTATGCACGGTGTCAACATGAATCCCTGTGATTTTCATTACAGCTATTTGGATTAATAAAAAATTAAGTGTACAGTGACTTGCCTTATTTAAAATACTAAAAAACAGTGTTTTCATTGTTTTTAGACTGTAATTTCTTGGCAGAACACCAATAATATAGGTAGTCCAATTAACAAATAATGGTGAGGTGGAAGATTCAGATTTAAAACAATTATTTACTTCTAATAGCTGTGTAAATAGGTTTAACAAATTAATCTTCTTCTTCTATACCTGCATAATTTCCATAGTCTAGGTTCCAGCAAAAATCTTCTATATTACCTACATCATCCTCCAGGTCATCATCACTATCTATTTCTGGTGGATAACTGTATACATATATTGGATGATCTTCATGAAAGGATACACTTTTCTTCATTCCAAGCAGCTACATTAAATAACAACAAGACCTTTTTTAAAACATTATCCTGGAGTATAATTACAATGCAACAATATCTACTTATTTGACTCACTTAACCCTACAGTTACAGTGTGTGCCAAATGGTTAGTACCTTTAAAAATAAATCTTTTAATTCTTTATAACTAATGCATAAAACTCAAACTATTTTTGAATCAATATGATTTTATACTAATTTCTAATTTAAAAAGACATATTGGTCAAGGTTAAACTTTCAAGCAGTTGGATACCTAACTTTATTAATGGCACTCTGTCCAGCTCTTAACATTTAGGCTATATACATTTAACCTTTCCTTTGGCCAATCAGCTTCAATCTTAGAAGAAAGAAAAATTATAATTATAAAAATTAAGTCAGTTGAATGCTAATTAGAACAGAATTCATTAAAAGAAAAAAGGAATATTAACAAAGAAGCATGAGAAGATTAGGTCACAGAACAAAGAGCTCTGACTTTCTGACTAAATCTGTATGCTTAGAAAATTTTCCTACAGCTGATCTATCCACCACAGATAATACCTATGACCAAAGTATCTGTAAACATCCTAAAGCCATTTTCTTCCTTCTGAAATCATGCATTTTTGCAAGAAATCTTGACAATTCTTGCATAATCTCTTAAAAATAGGAATCTGCTTTCACTATATTATGTAATAATTTATTGCTTTCACCACCTGATGCACTTCTGTGATGCCCAGTTCATGAAGGAGATCAAATTCATACCTAAATCTACAATAGCCACATCATGTTTTCAACATCATTTCAAAATAAATATGATGAGTAAATACTGCATCAATATTTCATTCATCAGCAAAATATTGAACAATAACAAAACAATGTACCAACCAATAGACACAACCATCATTAGTTTGACAAGTGACTGCTACTTGTGCATACTGAAACTTTATATTTGGAATGACATTTTCCTGTAAATGTTCATATACCTGCCATCTAAAAC